TGAAACCTTCCCAAAAGCAAAAGTCAGGGACAGGATGGCTTCACTAGTAAATTCTACCAAACATTCCAAGAGGATCTAACACCTGTCCTATTCAAACCCTTCCAAACAATTGAAGAAAAGACAATATTTCCTAACTCATTTTATGAGGCCAACATTACCCTGATACCAAAATCTGGTAAGGATAACACAAAAAAAGAAAATTACAGACCAATATTTCTGATGAATACAGATGCAAAAACCCTAAATAAAATTCTAGCAAATTGGATGCAACAAAGCAGTAAAAAGATTACACATCATCACCAAATGGGGTTCATCACAGGGGCACAAGGATGGTTCAACATATGCAAATTAATCAATGTGATACACCACATTTCAAAAAAAGATAAAAATCATGATTATATCAATAGATGAAGAAAAAGCATTTGACAAGATACAACGTCCACTTATGATTAAAACACTTAATAAAATGGGTATAGAAAAGTGTATAAACCAGACTTACAGAGGGAACTGCTGTCACTCAATTGGGAAGCCTAAAGGCGCCCCTGGGTGCAGGGCCCACGTGGCCTCACTCAACCTCCAAAGGTAAACTGGGCGTGGTTACCATAATGGACAGCAGAGTGAAAGCAGCAATCAGAATAGTCTTAGTCCCAGAGACCTATGGAGTTGGCTATTAGATCATCATGTTCCTAGAAGAGAAATATATAGGAAGCCTACTAAATTCTTACTTGATCTGCATAACTAGAAAAATTCCAGGTCAAGTGAATGAAAGCCCAACTTGAACAAAAATTAACAGAAAGTCACAGACCCTGACTCAATTCCCAGACTTGAGCCAGTTTATGAACCCCAAACCTCTTGAATGTAGGGGAGGCTGGGTCCCTTTGAGGGAGGCTTTTTGAAGACTCAGTTACATGACCAGCTAGGTGACAATAACTTGCAGGGCTGGGGTGAGGCTCTTCATGAGGCTGCATATACTCTGATTCCTCATCCAGTATATGGTGCTGTTTCTGCCATAGCTAGGGTTCACAGGTCCAGGAATCAAGGGGTGGAAAAGGCTGTGGGCCCACTCACTGTCACACCTAATGACTCACTAGCATAAAGTTGGCTTCCTGTCCCCACTACCTTAGGCTCTGCAGGGCTAGAAAGAGGTTTCAGTTTCAAAGGGAGGGATGCTTCCACCAGGAGACAAAACAATGATTCCTTTGAATTGTAAATTAAGCCTGCCACCAGGCCACTTTGGGCTTCTCATGCCTTTGAATCAACAGACAAAGAAGGGAATTACTGTGCTGTATGAGGTTATTGATCCCGATCACTAAAGGGAAATAGGACTGCCAGTCCACATTAGAGGTACAGCAGAGTGTATCTGGAATAGACACCCCTTAAGGCACACCTTAGTCATAACATGCCCTGTGATTAAACTCAATGGAAAACTGTAACAATACAATTCAGGCTGCACTTCTAATGGTCCTGACCCTTCAGGAATGAAGGACTGCGCACCCTACCAGACAAAGAACCATGACCAGCTCAGGTGCTTGTTGAGGACAAAGGGAATATGAAATGGGTAGTAGAAGAAGGTAGGTATAAATGCCAGCTATGAAGACGTGACCAGTTACAAAAAGGAGGATTTTAATGTGGCATTTCTTCCTTGCTTTGTTATGAATATGATCCTATATCTATACCTGTCTGTCTATCCAATAAGTTTTTCTTCTCTCTGTTATGCCTCTATCTTGTAACATAAGATATGTTGACTTGGTATCATTTAAGCATTGTCAAAATTGCATCACAGTATTTAAGTTAGGGAATATCAAGGAGAGAGTAAACATGACTCAAGGACTTTGTATCCTCTTGTGAAAGGGTTAGGGTGTTTTCTTCAGTATGTGGAATAGGTGGAAGTATGACTTTGTCCTTATTTGGAGATTATGTACAGTTTAAGGCGATGCATATGGGTACCAAGATGACAAAGGGTGAACTTACATTGGTTAATTTTATGTGTCACCTTGGCCTGGCCACTTTTCCCAGATATGTGGTCAAACTTTATTCTGAATGTTTCTGTGAGGGTATTTTGGATGAGATTTGACATTTAAATAGGTGAAATTTGAGTAAAGCAGTTTGACTCCCCTTTAATACATGTGGGCATCATCCAATCATTTGAAAGCCTGACCTTGACATGTACAAACTAGGACAGACACCGACATTGCTGACAGCAACAGGGAGACAGGCAGAGGCTGATATATACAGGTATAGATACAGAGATATTGTGGGAGGCACACACAGACACTGGAAAAAATACAAAGAGAGGCACACAAAAACAGAGAGTACATACAGTAAAATATGGGGGGGGGGAGGGAGGGAGAGGGGGGGAGAGAAAGAGAGAGAGAAAGAGAGAGAGAGACTGAGACAGAAAGGGAGAGACACAGAAAGAGGAACAGAGGAGAGAGATACAGTTAAAGACAGGCACGCACAGCAGCGACAGAGAGACATAAGACAGAAAGATAGAGAGCCAGACAGACAGACAAAGATCAACAGATAGAAACAGGAAGGTAGAGACAGTAAGAAAGAGACAAAGAGTGACAAAGATAGACAGGCTGAGGCAGAGACAGAGGTAGAAAAGACCAAGGTGGACAGAGATAGACAAGGATGCAGGGAGAGACAATAGAGACAGAGATCGAGAATGACAGACAGACAGACAGATATACAGAGAGGGAGAGACAGGGGTAAATCTGCATCATTGTCCAAGACTGCACTGCATCCCATAGAGGTCCCTCTCCTTTGGTGTGTCATGTAGTTTGCTGTCACTTATTTGATTGTTTGCTGTAGCATTACCATGATTATACATCTTGTTCAGCGTCTCCCTCTCCCCATTGTTTTAGTGGGAGGCTGTAATACAAAGTGAGTGTTAATGTGGGAAGCTTTGCTCCTCAGTTTTAGCAGTCGCAAAAGAAAATAAATTTAAGGTGAAAAAATAAAGGCTGGTATTGGATAAACAGCAAATGGAAACAGCCAGGATTTCTGTGAGTTTAAATGTTTAAATGTGTGTGTTTCTGCTATTTCCACATTATTGAACATCCCTCTTCTGTTAACAGCAAAGAGCAATTTAAAGATTTAAAGCTTGGGTGGAAATAAAAGTAGACCTCTAGTCAAGGTGAACTTGCTAAGTGGTCTCTGAATTTCCCAAGTGAGGATAACTCTTTTTTGATTAAATGGCATCCTGGCATTCAACTCAAGAAAAAGCTATTTGAAGTTGCTTAGAAAAATTATATAAAGGAAGTGACATTGTTACAGATAAAACAACTAATTTTTACCCTTCTACCAAATAATTATTTACTCTTTTCCCAACTTTAGTTATGAAAAAAAAAGACAGACAGGCAGGAGGCATGTTGTTTGTAGTTAGTTCAGTAAATACAGAATAAGGGACCTGAGAGGGGAAAAATACAAAATTAAAAGCAAACATCAAGGGTGCAACAGCAGCTTCTGCTCTAGCCATTCGATGTATCTGTTATGTAATTACTCTAACACTAGTATGTGGGTTTGGGATAATGAAGCTTTTCATACCTCCTTAAAGAGTAAATAAATAGGGTCGGCCAAGTGGCCCATTGGTTAAGAGCTGGCTTGGGATACCAGAGGGCCCCAGTTCGGATCCCACATATGAGGGCCAGTGACACTGCCCTCTACAGCTAAGATGCTGAACAACAGCTCAACCTGGAGCTGGGATGCTGTGAGTCACCGGCGACGGCATAGGCTGCAGCCCCTGTGGCAGTGGGTTGCCATGGGCTACCGTGTGCAGCCAGCAGCAAGTGTGAGCGGCCAGCAGCCGCAGTGAGTGGCCATTTAGAAGCCAGCGACTGATCTGCCTCGCCCGGGAAGAGCGCAATGATGGTGCCAACTTGGGCCAATGAAGCGACGTCCTCCACAACTAGTCTGAAGAACAAAACAACAGCAACTTGTCTGTTCCCCTTCCCCCAATTCCCCAGCGTTGTTCCTATACCCCAATTCCCCAATAAAAAATAAATAATAAATAAATTTTAAATAAATAAATAAATAAATAAATAAATAGTCAAAAGTGATTTGTTCACTCAATGACAAAGGATAAAACTAAATTGGGAAGAGAAATAAAAACCAATAAGAAAAGTTCTGGTTTCAATTCAACAATTAAATCTGTTTAACTTTTAAAATGTATTTGTTCACCTTCTATTATTTTTTTACACTCTTTTGAAGCATGTATTTATTATTTGTATGGATTCTTAAACAGAGTTTTCAAAGCATTGACCTTTAAGCACAATAGCCACTCAATAAAATGCAAACAGGTAGGGTATTTGGGAGGGAATGGGATGGTGGCAGTTGGAAATGTCTTTCTGGGGTGAAAATGCTAGGGAAGTAATAGGAAAGTCTAACTAACATCAAGGTACTCTTAGGTTAAGGAACAACCAACAAAAAGACCATCAGTGTACTCTGGGTGTGATCACATAGTGAGAGACCATGGAAACCAAGTACAACGGACAGTGGCAGGAAATGGGGAAGGGGGAGCAATCAGAATAGAACCAGTTGTGCTGGGAGTGATGAGGGAGGCAGGACTGCTCTAAACCCACCAAGTGAAAGAAAAATCAAAGTAGTCATTTAACATTCATTTAATAAAACTAAAGGAAAAGAATGTCACTAAGAGTAGTAGAGTAGGTAGGCTCGTTTTCTCTCTAAAGTCAACTGGTCTTCATCTTCAGAGAAATAATGTGGGGGTTGATGTATGTTAAACCAGGAGGATAGGTTGCCACATTAACAGCATGGATGAGTTCTGGAGATGTTTGGGGGCTTTAAAATGTGTCCTCTTTGTAAGTGCCAGTAAACAGTCTCAGGTATTATGAACTACAGTTCAACAAAGCCTCTGACAGTTGGTCATCAGAGATGGGCAAGGCCAGTTGATCCTATGGAGGGAGCTGCATCTTGAGAAAGCTGGCCACCCCTGTGCCCCGGGAAGAGCTGCTCAGTTCTCTGAGCTTTTGCACTAGTCCTCACTGTGGGCCATGCCCCTGTCTGCCCAGGTACAGGAAGTTACAGGACACATACATGGGGAAGACCACATCTTCGTTCTGCAGGTCCACTACCACCAGCTCTTGGTCCTTTCTCAGGGCAAGGATCTGGTATTCTGTGTCCTTCCTGAAAACAGCATTTCCAGCCCTGTCCAAGGAAGCCAAGCGTAGGCGGAATGCAATCTTTCTCTGCCAGAGTAGGCTGACCCTGAGGCCGCCGCATTTGTTCAGCACGTTGCGCCAGAAAGTGATGCGACGGTTGGTGTAGGACACCATCAGGTCCCAGCCAAAGTTGAAGCCGGTCCAACGCCAGCTGCACATCTCATCCCTGCAGAGCTGGGCCCCACAGCGCATGCTGTTCCCATGGAGGGCAGACACACTGACGTTAATGGACCTGAGGCCCCTGATTTGTTCAACCTGGAGGAGGGCAAGCCACTCCTCTCTGTACACTGGGATAAGCCATGCAGCTGGGATCACTGCATCGTGGTCGATGGTGCGTGCTGTCGACAGGTCGCAGATTATGTAGGCCAGACGCAGCTGCTGGAACACTGGCACGAAGGCTCTGCCCTGCTGGGTCTCCAGGAAAGGGGTGCCCCCTGACAACCTCTTGGACCTGTCAAACCACGAGTTGGTGTCTGGCAATAAGGCTCTGCAGGAACCCCTCCATGTGGGCTTCAGTTGCAGGAACATCCACATTTTCAGCTTGGTGTACACGTCCATCTCCACCTCCATCACCAGGAGCTCTGAAGAAGCGATGAGCTCTTTCATGAGATCCAGGCTCACTTCTCGCAACAGCTGCTCATTAGGCTGGGTCATCAGGTTGTCCAGCAGCCACTGGAAGCACATGGTCCTGATGTTTGGGAGGCCGTAGCTCTCAGCAGAGTAGTAGTAGCTGCACACGGTCTGGGCGCTAACAGTCTCCTTCATGATTTCCTCACACTGCTGAATTAGCTTGTCTAGCTGCAGCATGCTGGCGGTGGCCAGGATAGCGAGGACTCGGCTGGGTGGGATGAACACCGAGTCTTGGTACAGGGAGCCTAAAACCTCGTGAAGTGCGTCACGATCAATGTTCTCGTCAGGCATCTGCATCTCTATAGTATTCATGGTTGCTTCCCTCCAAGCACCACTGAACATGCTAGCGAAGTAACCTGACTGGCATAAGTAGACTCTGTGCAAGTTCCACGCCTCCCCTAGAGCGCGGATCTGCACATCGCTGTCTTCCCCCCTGATGAAGAGTGCCTCGTAAACGGACTCTGAACTGTCTTTGGCGCGCTTCCGGGGGGGCTTTTTTTCGTGAGGCCCTCCTGTGCCTGACTTCCGCTTGAGGCCTAACTGACTGGTAGTGGGTCTGGCCTCCTCACTCTCCTCCGCCACCTCATCTACCGCTGCCATGGCTGCCGCCACCGCGTCCTCCTCCTCCCGACCAGCGCCTGGCTGCCCTGGGGCACGCCTCCTCCAGCCCCAGAGCATCCGACTGCTTAGTGCTCCCATGGCCTTTATGTACCTTAACAGCGCAAAGGACAGGCTCCCTCACGAGGTGCAGCTTCCACTTCCACTGCGTCAGCCCCGAGTGCTTCTGGGTACAGCTGACCTCTGCTCTCACGTCACGTCACATCACGCAGGACGCTGCGCTAAGCCCCACCCCATTCGGCCCCAACCCTCAGGAAAATGACACGCCCTGCCAGGAATACCTCTGTGCGCCTTTCCCTCCTGGGATGATTGTTGTGGGGCTCGCTTCACAGACTGATGATTTAATGGAGGCCTTTTTGTTTGAATTTCCCTCTTTACCTTTAAGAACAATTCACTTTTTCCCATTTAAAATAGGTATTTAGTGATCATTTATGGAGAGAATTGCATCTTGGCTCTAACTTCCGCTAGGCACCCTAATTTTCTGGAATAACTTATAAGGCTAACTCATCACTTGAGGCTGTGAAGCCATTTCTTGTGATAAAGGTTGTAACTTTTGCCCCAGGCTTTGCTTTGCTCATTAACTATTGTTTTTAAATAGTTTCCAGTTTTAAAGCCATTTTAACCTCTCTCTCTCTCTCTCTCTCTCTCTCTCTCTCTCTCTCTCTC